TCCCCTCTCACCACCTGACTTCTCAGTATCAGCGGACTACTACAGAGAGAGAGAGTTGTGACTTGAGACTTGACGACATTGGATCCAGACTCGACATTGGGATTCAGACATTTTGACGAGGGACTATTTGGGCCTGTGCCGAAGACTTGGTGTTGACGACATTCCCATCTTCCCCTCTTCTTCGTCTAACCCCCCTCTTCTTCGTCTGTGTATGTTGGGCCTGGTGCATTCTTCCTGTGTGAGCGCCAGACCCCTTCACACCATGGAATGATGATGATGATGTATGTTCGGGGCTGCATTGCAATATTGATTGTTCGGATCATTGGTATCTAAGTTTTCCGCTGCGCTATCTTGTACTTTGTTAGAGAGATTGGTTCTTGTTCTGGTCTGCACCTTTACAGTATGCAACAGCAAGGGAGCACCGGAGTGCGAACCTGCTACACCAAGTGGAGGCCAAGTCCCTGCAACCTACTACTCCAGAATCCAGAGAGAACATTGCTGTTCTCAACTCGACCCGTCATCGCTCTCAACTCCTAACAATCCATTGACAGAGTTTTGGAAGAACATTGTTGCTCTGACCTTGTCACTGCTATCAACCCCCATACTCACATCTATCCACACAAAACTTTTGGACTTTCCGGTAACGGATACTTGTGGAGTGTTTTCATCCATACCAGGAGAAGATCGGCGAACAGTGGGAGCAGCACTGATGTCACTAGCGAACAGCATGGCGCTCGTATGAGCCAGATTCTCCTCCACTCCAATGCATCTGTCAACACATCATTGCGCTGCACGGGAGCTGAAACAGGCTCCCGTGATGCGACAGGCATAATATCTGGCAGGTTGCCCACAGTCTTCGCGCAAACTTCGCATGTCCTGCAAACAGTCAGTCAACGACACCTCCAAGTTGAGAATACAGAATTGACTTTTTGCATAAGGGGTTTATTAAAAAAAAAAAAAAAAAAAAAAAAAAAGGATTGACGGTCAGAAAAATTGAGAACTCCTTCTACGCATTTTCTTTTGTCGTGGCGTTGTAGAAACATGAACCTGTTGATAAACAGATGGTTAAGTTCAAATCCTGATGAACACAGTGTGTACCAAAAAAAACTTAGACAAAGATTGAAATCGGCTCGGCTGTACCCATGTTGCCGCCAAGCATACGCATGCAGCGATGCGATTGATAAATGGATCATCAGTTCAGATCTGATGGATATAATAAATTTAGGTGCTAGCCCCATTACAGAAAAGAAAAGAAACAGATTGAACTACACTGTAGCCCGCCTTACGGCCCGGTTCTACACACATCCTGATGGGTGCAAGATTGTAAGGCCCTGGTCACCCTGCAGAGGAAGGATCGCTTTGGTAGTTTTTTATATCTGGAAAGAACGGAAACATTAGATGATCGTCATTGGAAGACTGGAAGTGATTCGGACCTGACGACAGACTTTGTAACTGACACAGGACCATCATAGATAATAAACACAAGCGGGTGCCCACCGCGGCTACCCTCGACGACTCCTCCCCATCCTCCACGACCTCCTCCTCCTCCCCTTGCTGATCTGTCACCTCCTCCTCCTGCTCCCCTTTGTTCTCTGCACCTACTCTCCGTCCTGCTCCCCCTTCCCCCCCCCTCCACCTCGATTTCCTCCTCCTCCCGCTCACGCTCTCCTCCTCCTACCCCCCCCTGCAGTAACCCGTGTTCTGCAGTCTGGGCCCTCGAAACGAAGCCCAGACGACGCAGGCCAAACTCAGCCTGCGCCAGGCAGTGTGACCACACACTGCCTAGGAAAGCCAAAAGTCTAAGTCAACTGTCAAAGGTACCACGCCCAGGCCCTTGGTCGGATACATTCACTTGTTGTGCGCAGGTACCCAGACAGCATCAAGACCACAGGGAGTTCGGTTTCAGGCAAATCTGGGCCGCCATTTGTCTTGAGATCTCAACGGCCTAGGGAAGCAGCAACCGGGGTCCAGACGCCGCATCAACGCTACATAAGCCTGGACTACCTGGCTGATAGAACATTCTGTCTGGCGTCAATGCTGACTTCACGCGTTGACTTCGACAGTAGTGCGACGCTGCGATACTGGCTAGACGCTGGCACTTGAGCGATTACGGCGACGCGCTGCTGACTCGGCATGGTGGCTGACTGGCAATTGTCTTCTGGGCATGCTGACGTGGCAGCTGCCATGTGCCGGCGCTGACGTGGCTGCTGCCACATGTACTCTTGCTGACGTGGCCGGGCTACGTATCCGATATTGCTGTTCTGATTCATCGTCACTCGGAAGGAGATCAAGACTGTGGGGCGATTGTAGATACGTACCTGGTCTCTCGATGTCGACATTGCTCCAGCTCGCTGATGATGACAGGTTGACGTGCCACGTGGCACATTGAGATAGAACTTCAGATTTGTGTTCGGACTATTGATTTTTGAGGTGGCAATCGAGGAGGGAGCCCGAAGCAGAATTGGGCTTTGTTTTCTTCTCCACTCTAAGTCTATTCTCCCTTCTCTCTCTTCCGTCTGTGTATGTTTCCCCATCTCATTCTATCTGGGCACAATTTTGATTATTGACAATCATCAGCAGGTTGATATCTATCTGGGCTTGCATTGTTGACAAGTGTCTTCACGATCTGGGTTCATTGCAAATTGGTATCGGAGCTGTACTTCCGATGATGTGACTGACGACGACGACGTGTACAGAACGACGGCGAAGAAGTGGTGACGCCTACAACCGAGGAGCTGACGTGGATAAAATTGGAATTGTGTCAGGTGCTGACGTGGCATTGGTATCCCGACAGGGGAAAATCCAGCAAGGATAGCGCTGCCATCCAGATCCCGATCGATCGTATCTGCGATCGGGATGCACTGCTGACGTGGCCGGTGGCTGTGGAGGAGTGCTGACGTGGCATTGCTGACTCACCACTCGACTACTGTGGTGAGTAGCTTCAGGCTGACGTGGCATTGTCTAACGTGGCACTCCATTACCTGGCTGACGTGGCATTGTACGATGCGCTGGTATTGCTCCTGACGTGTATCCCACTGATGATGCTGACTGGACTATAGTGCTGACGTGGCAGACTCAAATGCTGCTGTGTTGGCACACCAGGGGATACACGTAGCAGGAAGGAACGTGACTTACTTGACGACGACATCGACGCACATTGCTGACGTGCACCCCATTGATGACTTTGACTGGACATGCTGACCTGGCATACTCTTCGAGTTGCTGAGTTGGCATGCCAGGGGTGACGTGTGGCAGGCACAGTTGTGCCTAAGTAAGAGTTGCATTCTGATGACTGAAGCGGCACAGCTGGAAGACTGACGTGGCTGTGGTGCCATACGTCAGATTGGGTGCTGATCACACAGGACCGAAGAAGAAGCAGCAGCAGGGGCTAACTATTGTTGTGATTTTGTTGGCGGACTTACCTGTTGTCTTGTGCTGTGTTGTGTGCCTGTGTACTTATTTGTGTTTGTTGATGATCATGTTGGCCTGAGTCGCGGTGCCTGAAATAGAATAGCACGTCATCACATTAAAATTGAACAGCAATCAGAATTAGTAAAATTTATGTTCCTTGTTATTAAATCTTTCTGTTCAGACAGTGTGAATTTGGTTCGGGTGACCGTTAAATTGTTGTCTTTTTATTTATTTTGCGGTAGACCAACCTGGCCGACGAATTTTCTTGTTTCTTTCCTCCAAAAATGTCTCACTTCTGGAAATGTTTGCAGAAGTTTATTATGACGAGGTTTGTGACCACATTATTCCGATCACGCTCTCCGTGGGCGATGGACCGTCTGAGCCTAAGACTCGGACGCAGGCTGAGAATAGGAAACAGGAACTGTTGGCCTTGTGGAACCAGCTGTTGACCGAAATACATCTATCGGGAATGGATGCTGAACAACACATCCGTGATAGATTTGATCTACAGACAACTGAAGACTGTCTGAAGAAATCTATCACAGTTGTGGAGGTTGTGGCATCCGGAACTGGTCTCCAAACCAATTGCCCAGTGTTGTCAGGCGCTGGACCAGTTTGCTTTGAAACAGCTGGAAGAAATAATGGAATTGACTCGCAAAGGCGAGACTAAGCCAGAAGTATCCGAGGCAACGATTGATGCAAACATCCAGCAGTTGAAAGAAGCATTGGTCGCAGAAGAAAGGAAGAAAGAAGAGTTGTCCAGAAGAAGAGAACATGAACAAAGAAGAGGACAAAAAGTTAAAGAAATTAGACAGGTTATTCGAACAGAAACTGGAGAGAAGGCAGACATGTCACATACATTGTCTCATATTGTGACTTACCTTTCTGTGAGAGAAAATTGACCAACAGCAGACTCAGTTAGATGAGATTGATGTAGGACTACGAACCATTGGAAACATTGTGAAAGGAAAATATCAGATAGAGGGTAAGGAAGAAGATAGACAAGAAGAAAGAGAAGACAAGAAAGAAGTAAAGAAGTTGATGGGAGATGCAATGAAGTCTGCTGGTCCAACAATTAAGACAACTACTAATGGGAATGGACCGTCAAATCCACCATCCTTTTCAACTAACTCCTCTCATTCGTCTCCTTCTCCCAAGTCTCCTTCTTCGACAACTCCGGGTAAGACAAGTGCAAAACCAGAGAAGCCAAAGAAGAAAGAGAAAGCGAAAATGAAACTGCCTTTCACGTTTAATAATAAGAAAGATGAGAGCCTGTTGCTTTGGATTGCTGAAATCGGAACGTATGTCAACACTGCTCCTGTCTCTTATACACATCTAGTGTTGCTTTGGATTGCTGAAATCGGAACGTATGTCAACACTGCTCCGGTCGAAGCGGAGTCCCAAGTTGCGTTCACCACCTCTTGTATGGGAGGTGAGGCCAAACAATGAGTGTTGGCTGAGGCCAACGATGTGGGGTTTGAAGACATGGCGAGTGGGCAAAGACGTTGACCTTGAAACAGTTTTTGACCAAGATCAAGGACCGCTTTCTCGACAAGACAACGGTCGACAAGGCATTTGACGAGTTAACAACGATTGGTCAAAAACATTGGACGTCGGTCGAGGCTTTGTCCTGCGAAGTTGATCGTTTGCTGCAGGTTCCAGGATTGAACCTGCAAGACAGCCAAGTGCTATATATCTACTCCCACGCGTTGCCTGAGCCCATCCGGGGAAACCTGGTGGTCGAAGCAAAGTCAGGTAAGTATAACTATAGGCAATTTCGCAATCTTGCTCTGCAAAGGGAGCAAATGACTTCTCAAGTCAAAAACTCCTATGCAACCGTAGTTAAGTCTGGAGAAGGAGGAGGAGGAGGAAGGACGTACGATGGGAAACGAATTCTTTGGCGACAAAAGCGCCAGGCCCACACCCTTGTTGTCTTCAATGATGACACAGTGGAAAAGTGATCGATAGAAGAAAGGAATGAGAAGGATAACAACAGTGACTCCGGGAAGGGGGAAGTCACTGTTGTTGTGGCCTCTAGGGGAGGGCCACCCAGAAATTCGATAAGGAAGAAACCACACGCGTTTCCATAACACCCTGGTATTGTCGAAGGGAAGTCTTCGTTGAAGATGGGGATGACTCGTGAGACTTGGCAGGAGCGCATGGACAATGCGCAATGTCTTAAATGCGGCACACCAGGACATGTCATCGCAACTGCCCGAGGATTATAAACCCAAAAGCCCGCAACCAGTAGGAGTAGCATCTGTTCCTACTGACATAAAGGGTAAGGACGAACAGACAGGTAAGGCGCCGACGAACCCTTCCTACCCTTCTTCTCATATGGCAGAGGATGATTCTTCCTTAGCCCATCATCCAGACCGCCCTAACATTGTCTTATGTTCTGTCTCTCTGAATGACTCCCTTGATGAGCTAGGTAATAAATTGCTAGCCTTACGTAGCTCATGGGC